AGTTCTCAGAAACAGTGCTTATACAACTAAGGTGTCCGTTTATGACACAGAGAATAGCTGCGATTCAGAGGATTGCAGCTATTCTCTGATCATTCACAGTTTATGACACTCAGGAGATCAGCGGAGAACATGTTCAGCCCTTCACTGGAGATCTGTGTCCTCCCTCCAGATTCTCTAGCCCAGAGCTGGAGAATTGGAGGGACCGCAAACTAAGCAGCGATAATTTACCTCTGCTTAGTAAACTGATCTTTTACTGTAATCTCGCGAGATTATAGTAAAATCAGCCGGTTTCCAGCGTTTGGAGACCTGCTTCATAAAAGGCATTCACAGGAGAACTGTGTTCTCTGAGAATGCCGGAGAACTGAGCAGCGATCATTTACCGCTGGTTCATAAACGGACACCTAAATATTAATTGATTCAAAGGAAAGCAAAATCTTCAAACATTTTTCAGTTTATATAGTGAATGTTTGAGTTTGTAAAGAAGAATACAAACACTGCTATTTTTTTGAACAGTCTAATATTCACTGTTCAATTTTTTTTTTAGAGGAACAACACAAATTTGATATATTTTTCCTCATGTTTTGATTTGGAATAGAATGTGTAGTGTTCCCAATGCATTGTGTGCATGGAAATAAAAGCTATTAGAAGGATTTTGAGCTTTATTCACTTTTTTCAACACACTGCTATTATTTTGAACACAACTGTATATATATATATATATACACATACATATACACACACACACACACTAATTTTGTCAAAAGGATTGGGATGCCTGCCGTTACACACACAAGCTTTAACGGCATCCCAGTCTTAGTCCGTAGGGTTCAATATTGGGTTGGCCCACCCTTTGCAGCTATAACAGCTTTAACCCTTCTGGGAAGGCTGTCCACAAGGTTCAGAAGTGTGTCTGCGGGAATGTTTGACCATTCTTCCAGAAGAACATATGACAGGTCAGGCACTGATGTCGTTCGAGAAGGTCTGGCTCGCAGTCTCAGCTCTAATTCATCCCAAAGGTGTTCTATCAGGTTGAGGTCAGGACTCTGTGCAGGCCAGTCAAGTTCCTCCACCCCAAACTGGCTCATCCATGTCTTTATGGACCTTGCTTTGTACACTGGTGTGCAATCATGTTGGAACAGGAAGGGGCCATCCCATCCCCCAAACTATACAAAGTTGGGAGCATGAAATTGTCCAAAATGTCTTGGTATGCTGACGCCTTAAGAATTCCCTTCACTGGAACTAAGGGGCAAGCCCAACACCTAAAAACACATCCCCACACCATAATCCCTCCCCCTTCCACCAAACTTTACACTTGGCACAATGCAGTCCGGCAAGTACTGTTCTCCTGGCAACCGCCAAACCCAGACATGTCCATTGGATTGCCAGAGAAGCATGATTCGTTGCTCAAAAGAATGCGTCTCCATTGCTCTAGAGTCCAGTGGCAGTGTGCTTTACACCACTGCATCCGATGCTTTGCATTGCACTTGGTGATGTAAGGCTTGGATGCAGCTGCTCGGCCATGGAAACCCATTCCATGAAGCTCTCTACACACTGTTGTTGTGCTAATCTGAGGGCCAGACGAAGTTTGGAGGTCTTTAGTTATTGACTCTGCAGACGGTTGGCGACTTCTGCGCACTGTGTACTTCAGCATGCACTGACCCTGCTCTGTCTGTTGTTCCCAGTTGCTTCCACTTTGTTATAATACCAATAACAGTTGACCGTGGAATATTTAGTAGCAAGGAAATTTCACGGAAGGACTTATTGCACAGGTGGCAACCTATCACGGTACCACGCTTGAATTCACTTAGCTCCTGCGAGTGACCGGAGGAGCAGTGGCCTGCCTGGAGCCCAGGGTGAGGCTACCATTCACTTCTTCCACACAAGTTTGTTATGATGTGTGGCGCATGGACTGTTTCTTGCTACGCTTACAGTGATAAGCTTTTATTCATTTATGTAAATTCTTTAAGGGAAAAAACTGTTGCTGTAACTGCTTAAAAAGTGTTAGATGGAGTTCAGCTTTAATTTGTTAGTCAGATCCATCTAAATCTGCTAATGCATCCAACAATACCCTCTTCACCCCGTATTGATAATGCTGCTGTCCAGAGATGTCTCTGTTGCTTCTCCATCCAGAAGTGGAGGTACTCTAAGACAGGAAGTATACTGGCTTGATCACTACATGATAATAAAGTAAAAAAAAAAACTAAAAAAAATAAAATAAAACTAATGCAGCTACCATATCTAAGGATTGGTAAACTGCAATATATTACATTTTTGGTTTTGGGTTTAACCGTGCATTTTGTATTAATATGATTGATTTGTAACAGGTATATTCGGGGATGGCAGAACCAGAATGTGATACATAAAATGTTCCAAAGACAGTAACATGCAGTTATATACCATAATGTACACAAAACATACTTACATACAGTATGCATTACATAACACACCATTCCTCCTGTAAGTTATCTGGTCTGAGAAATGTTACTGAGAATTGTGTATGTGTGAAAATACATATACATTTCTGAAGTTACAATTAACTGTTGTCATTCTGATAGAGTTATAATACCTTTTGTCTACTTCCTCAGTACTGCTAATATACTTTCTATCAATTCCCTTACATGATATGTAAACGATTACTAAAGTAAAGCCTTGTACACAATAAAAAAATCGTACAAAAAATACCGCTTTCGAAGCGATCGTACAATAATCTGATCGTTAGTACACAGCTTTAGTCTGAAATTATTCGAACGGCTAAACACAAAACATTTTCTCGTACGATACCAGATTGCACAATTTTCATTTAATCAGTACAGTTTTCATCTGAAAATACATTACAATACATTACATCGCTTTCAAATTTTTGTTCTGTCCTACGAGAATTTTTGTAATGTAGTTTAATTATTGATATGAGACTAGCATGTTAAAAAAAAAACGGACGATCATTCGTCCAATATTTTCATCATGTGTACGGGGCTTAACCCATGGAGAGAGGGTAGGTACACAGATATGCAGCACCAGCCACAAGTATAAAGGCATAGCAGGGTCCGCAGATGCAGATTGCAGTAAAGGATCAGGGTAGAGTTATGGCTGCAGGACCACAGATGGAAACTGGTAATGGTCTGTAACCCACAGTGGGAAACAGCAGGAGGTGCGGAACATGCAGATGTATTTGTAGGCACATGACACTGATTGATGGAGGGTGTGGTTAATATGAAAGAAAGTGGATGAAGGCAGAAAGTATACCGTGAGATAAGCAAAATGTTAAATGTAGAAATACGATGGGTCTCACTGCTACAAACATATCTAGCATTTTTTTTTTTAACAGAGCTCTGAATTAATCAGGATATGTTTAAAACTGTTTCATATCGTGTGTCCCAAAATAATTTTCTTTTTTTTAAACTGTTAATCTATATTTTAGTATATGCCGATTAAAATGGACTGGAATAAAATGCAAGGTCCGCTTATTACATACTTCCTGACCGTGATTGCACTGCTTCCCATGGATATTAATTGGTCACCAATTTGCCAGAATCAGGGTGAGTGATTTTTAACATTTGGGAACAGTTAAGGCTTTGTTCACATGGGGCATACTAAAGCCTTATTTACCCTTGTAAATACCCATGGGGATGCACAGGTATTCCATGCATCCTTGTGTAGACAGTCACATTGATGTCAATAGGGATACAGTGGCTGCATGGACAAAGCCACTGCTCCCAATCCGACATCCACATGGGTGTGGGTGCATGTCCCTGAATGCACACCGTGTGCAGCTACTGCGTCCCAACTGACATCAGTAGGACTGCCTGCATGGAATACCTGTGCATCACTGTGTGGATAAACGCGGCTCTCCACAAGCATACCCTTTATTTATTTATTATTTATTTATTTCAGGTACTGATATAGCGCCGTCAATTTACACAGTGCTTTACATATATATTGTACATTCACATCAGTCCCTAACCCTCAAAGGGTGTACAATCTAAGGTCCCTAACTCACATGCATACATACACATACTAGGGCCAATTTAGACAGGAACCAATTCACCTATCAGCATGTCTTTGGAGTGTGGGAGGAAACCAGAGTACCCGGAGGAAACCCACGCAGGCACAGGGAGAACATGCAAACTCCAGGCAGGTGGTGCCGTGGTTGGGATTCGAACCGACGACCCTAGTACTGCCAGGCGGAAGTGCTAACCATTTAGCCACTGTGCTGCCCACTTCATGTGAATGAGGCCTAAAACAAAGCCATTTTGTTTTCTGCATTTCTAAATGTCTTAGCCTTCTCATATACAATACAATCTGACAATACCATCATCTTTAGATTTATCAAACATATGCAACATCTAAATTTCCCGATTCCTTATATGGTGGTTGAGTTCCTTTTTTCTGGCAAAAAAAAAGACCTGGTGATCCTTAAGCTGGCCATACACTATAGCTTTTTTGTGTTGTTTTTTTTTTTTTTTTTACTGTTCAGCCTGCAGAGTGAAATTAAAGAAAAAAGTCAAACGATTGACTTTCGTTGTACAGAGTGGGGTCAGCAAGGAAACCCACTGAGCGAATTTTGGCTGGTTCTTTGGGAATTGGATACAATTTGGATAGTGTATGGCCAGCTTCAGTTTCTGAGATGAAAGTGCTCCTAAAAGCCTATACTCCCCTTATGTTTCATTTCATCCGATGTACTGTTACAATTCGATTTCAATATACTATTGTAATCAGCGGGATGATCCATTATCTTTACTTGTGGATGTACACAAAATAACTGTTTGTTTGTATCATTAAATTATTTTGACCTATGTGTAAGGTTCTATTTATTAGTCTGTTTCAATAAAAATATTAAGCAAGGAAAGTGCTGCTAAACGTGGCTCAACTCTAAAACCAGATACCTTCAATTATTTTCTGTCCACCATTCTTTCTGGTTACTGGGACTAATGGGGGCCATAGATGGGTCGAAAATCGGCCGATTTTTCGGCTGAAAATAAAATCGGACGATTTTCAGATCGTTAGTGGGCTATTTGTTCAGCCGTTTTTCGGTATTTTGGCAGATTTTTTTTATCGGTAAATTTGGAAAAAAATTGTCCGATTTTGCCGATCGGCCGATTTTCGCGGCAATGATGGGCAAATCGGCCGATTTTTTTACCGATAAAAAAATCTGCGCATGAGCAGTGACCTGCAAGAGGAAGACAAAAAGAAGAAAAAGAAGAAGAGGATGAAGAAGAGGAAGAGGATGAAGAAGAAGAAGAAGAGGAAGAAGATGAAGAAGAAGAAGAGGATGATGAACAAGAAGAAGAGGATGAAGATGATGAACAAGAAGAAGAGGATGAAGATGATGAACAAGAAGAAGATGATGAACAAGAAGAGGATGATGATGATGAAGAAGAGGATGATGATGATGAAAAAGAAGAGGATGATGATGAAAAAGAAGAGGATGATGATGATG